CTGGCGAGCGCATGCGCCCTATAGCAAAAAAAATAAAAATAAAAAACACCTCTCCAAAAAAAAAAAGAAAAGAAATTGTGTGATCAATAAAACGTGGGGGAAAAAGGAATGGAAAACAACTGTAGACACCAGAAATAGTGTGAGAGGAGGGTGGGAAAAGGCAGAGGGTCAGAAAAAGGGGTAAAAAATATATATACGCACACACACACACACATATATCTATGAAACTAGAAATGGGAAATTATTGACAATAACATGTATGATTAAGCCACTATGCAGTATATTCCGGTATATTCTGGATGGGAAATCACATTTTGTATACTGTGACGATGCTTAGGGAATTAATGTAAATTAATTAATTAAAAAGTGTTCCAGAAAATAAAAAAGCTCATGGAAATCCATGTAATGGGAAAACTGTGTATGAATTTCAAAAAGGTTTGTACCAAAATAAATTCATTCTTTAATTGTAATTAAAAAAGAAAGCCCTTGTGTATTATTTGAGTAGCTAGTGGGGCAGAAATGGTTTCGGTACTGGTTACAAAGGTGCATAAGTCGCATCCCCCGTGAGAGGTGACGACAGAACAGGGCTCAGGTGCCTGGTCGGGCAATGTGGATGCCACCTGCAGTGTCAGCCGTCATGGGGTTATAGAGAGGAGGGCTGCGCGTATAGTCCCTCTGGCTACCCAGGGACAGGAGGACTGCGGCAGAACACCCCACGGGCCACCCGTGGAGCCCAGACGAGGGGTGTTAGGAGCGCCGTCCGCAGAAACTCATGCACATCCTTTCTGATTCCAGCAATCAGACCTCGTGGAGGAAAGCCAATCTCACCTGCAAAATCGCAATCGACAATCTGGAGAAAGCGGAACTTCTCCGGGGAGGAGATCCCCTCAGGCAAAGGTATTCGCTCGTTTGTCTTCTTCGGCCCTAATACCGGACTAGGTAACAGTCCACAAGGTGCGAGACCCACTGTAGGGGTCTCTTCTCGGGTTTCAGTTCAGATTTTGTGCATGTGTGCGTGTGTGTGTGTGTGTGTGTGTATATATATACAGAGAGAGAGGGAGAGAGGGAGGGAGGGAGGGAGATTTTTCCCTTAGGGTGTATGTGCTTGCTAAGAGAAACAGAAAGTGAGAAGTCACCCCCCCTCGCCCCCACCATGGCCATGCTGCAGTCCCTTCTCCATTCTTCTCCCAGGACTTGGGTATGCTCACACATGTGCCTGGTGTGAGTTTTCAGCCACCAGGTCTGGGACTCAAACCTCAGCTGGCCCAATCGGAGGCAAGTGATAAAACCACTATGCCATCTGCTGGCCTTCAAGTTGTATTTTTATTATGGTAGTAATCTTTTTAAAAATATGAGGTATATGCTTATTTTATTAAATTGGTAAAATAAATAAAAATGTATTACAAAATGAAAATAAATTATAATGTTGTTACTCATGACTTGTTTTTTTTTAGGATTTTGCCATAGGTCGTGTGCTTCACCAGAGATAGACAGAGAGGGAACGTGAGAAACCACCCGTCGAGGGGAATATCCATGCTGCAGTCTCCTTCATTCTCCTCTTGGGATCTTGGGTGTGCATGCACACGTGCCCAGTGTGATTCTCACCCTGCTGGATCCACCACTCCACCTAGAATTTGATACATTGTCTCTTCCTATGTTTTTTCTTCTTCCATATTTTTTACTAAGTCAGAACATACCATATGCAAAATTTAAAGTCCTACTCTTTACTTTGTATTTTTTTAAAGAATTATTTTATTTAGCTTTATTATTATTTTCATTTGACCAGAGAGAAAGTGAGAAAGCAAACTGTCAGGTCTGGGACTCGAACTGTGGTCAGCCATGTGGGACTTCAGCATCCTTAACCGTCATTCCACCTGCTGGCCCCACTTTACTTTGCATTCTAACATAAAGCTTCTCATTTTTTATTTCATTAATTTTTTAATTGAGATTTTTGCTCTAGAGCTTGTATGCTCACCAGAGAGACAGAAAGCAAGAAATCACCCTCCACGGGGCATGGCCATGCCACAGTCCCCTCTCCTCCATCCATCTCTCAGGATTTAGGGCATGCACGCACATGTGACCAGCATGAGTTTCAAGCTGCTAGGCCCAAGATTCAAACTGCAGTTGGCCACGTGGAAGCCCAGCGCCTTAACCACCATGCCACATGCTGGTCACACACCTACTCGTTTTTAAAAAATTTCCTCATACCTGATTGTAGTAGTACACAGTCCTCGGCTGCATTACTCAGTCCCACCTGTGGGTTCACAGTTCTGCCTTTTCATTATAAGTGATACCCCCGAGCACACTAAGAACGTTGGCTTTACCCACATCCCGGGCATGTCCTTTGGAGAAGGTCCTAGGGATGAGATTTGGGGTCAAAGGAAGGGTGTTCCTGAGGCGCTCACCCCTTTTGGCTTGTCGTCTTGTGGGGTGGCGGCGCCTGCCGGAAGCCTGTGGTCGTGGTCTGGGCATACCCCGCCAGCGTTGATTACGGTCACTTACAAGATGCGTATGCATTTGACAGGTTGAAAAGATGGGGTTGCGTGAATATGGGGCTTTTTTGCAGCGAGGCTTTTCTTGACATTCTTCTTCCTCCTCTGGACTCAGAAAAAGCACCAAAGAGAGCCTGGCCCAGACGTCCAGCACCATCACGGAGAGCCTGATGGGGATCAGCAGGGTGATGTCCCAGCAGGTGCAGCAGAGCGAGGAGGCCATGCAGACGCTAGGTAAGGCCGCTCCGGAGCGCCTGCTGGCCCCGTGTGACCTTTCTTCGTACCGAGTCTTTAAAATCTTGTGTATATTTTACACTTACAGACATCTTAGCTTTTTTTTTTTTTTTCTTTTATTACTGGAAATTGCAAGTACTAGCCAGAGAATGAGCAAGAGAGAAAGTACCCTCATGTGGCGTGGCCAGGAGAGGGTACCTCCTTCTCCATTTCTCATCCCGTCAGGGTCTGGGGCATGCACACGGGCCCGAGTGGCTTTCAAGCTGCCAGGGCTACAGTGCCAACGGTGGCCAGCAGTGAGACCCCGCCCCTCATGTCTTCCCTGGTGTGCCGCAGGACCAGCCCCAGACATCTCGACCTGATCTGCCACGCCGTGCCTGCTCCAAGGCCACCTGAGTCTCATGGGCCAGCACAGCTCAGGGCAGCACAAGGACACAGAGATGTCACTCTTCCGACCCTGCTGGCCCTGACCACTGGCCCCTGCCGCTCCGCAGGGGCAACCGCGGCTAACAGTTTCTTTCATGTTTTTTGGGGTCCTGCATGAGTACTGAATAACACGAGCAAACAAATGCTCCTGACCCCTGCGTCCATGTAGGTGAAACTTGGGGCTTGTACACCGATACCTTGCCTCGTCCTGGCCCTGCTTTCTCTGGTGATGCCTGCCCAGTAGGCCTGCACTCAGAAATAAATTAACTCCAGGCTTAAGGAGCGCTCTAGGGACTTAGACCTCCCCTTAGGTGGCACATCTTTAAAGCCACACCCAGTGTCCCGAGGCTGAAAGATTGTTAGTGCCAGGGCTTGTGGAGGGCCCACCTCACCCTGCCCTTTTGGGATCCAGCCAAGAACAGGTCTGCCTGTCAGATGTCCTGGTGGTCCCCAGCTCATGGCCAGCACAGACCTCACGGCTTGTCCACGGTCTCTGCGTGAGTTTTGTGCCTGGTGCGTCTTGTCAGCTGTGCCGTCTGCCTCAGGGAGCCAGTCAGCCCCTGCCGTCCTTCTCCCTGGCCACGGCGTGCCCGGGCGAACCGTATCACCCTCTGACTGGGCGGGACCTAGGGGAGCCCTTCCTTGGGAGGCCCTGGTGCTCTTGGCTCACTGGACCGCTCATCCCAGGCTCTGGTTCTGCTCAGAGGGCCTGCTTCCACTGCAGCATCTGCTCGGCCCGGCAGGGGCAGGGGCTCCGACCTTGTGCTGTGTGGTCTCTGAGTCAGGCTTCCTCCCTCTCTTGTTCTAGTCAATTCATCACGGACAATCCTGGACGCAAATGAAGAATTTAAGTCCATGTCGGGGACTATCCAGCTGGGTCGGAAGCTCATCACCAAGTACAACCGCCGAGAGCTGACGGACAAGCTTCTCATCTTCCTCGCCCTGGCCCTGTTTCTTGCTACGGTCCTTTATATTGTGAAAAAGCGACTCTTCCCGTTTTTGTAAGACCCAGGAGTTGGCAGCTTTGGCCCCCTCAGCTCCGGATTCAGGATCCGTCCATGCTCCAGCCCAGCAGGCAGGGTGGAAGCACGGCCCCCAGTGCTGCAGCGGCTGGCTTGTGGAGAGGGACAGAGCGCCGGGAAGGAGGCCCGTCACTGGGGCGCCGAGGGGACACAGGGACTGTAGCTCAGGCGGGGTGCACCGGAGCCGCTACCTGGGGAGCACTCAGAGTCCAGCCTCTCAGATTCGTCTCTCCCCTCCCTCCCCTCCTGGCCTTGAGAGCCAGGCCTGGTTGGGGAAGATGAGGACGCATGGCCAGTCTTTGACTCAACCTAATCCTGTTCAATAGAACGCAGTGCACTTGGTCTACAGTGCATGCTGGGGTTTGTGCGCCTCTTTATTTCGATGTCTAGATTTGGGGGACATGAATTTAGATCATTCGTTGGACTAAGAGTTACTGAGCAGCTGCCACACGCAGTGTGTCATAGACACCGCTGAATGTCACGGCAGGGGCAGGCCAGACTGGCTCCTCCACAAGGCGCACAGAAATAGCGTCTCACCGCCAGGAGCGAGTGTGCAGCCCCGGGGAGGCGCTTACCCGACGACGTCTGGGAAGGTGGGGAGAGGCCCTTCCCCTCTGCCAGGGCAGGGTGGCCGGCCTATGGCTGAGCACTGAGGGGCTGCCGGCCCTTCTCTGAGCCCACAGCTGAGTGTTCTGTTGCAGCCAGAGGAGTAAGGCTGGGCCAGGCCGTCCCTGAAGGCGTTAGGTCTCCTGAGCCCTCCTGCTATTTATAGCCCCGGAGAACTTGGGAGTGGCAGTGTGGAGGCAGACAGCATGGTGGAGAGGACGTGGCCTGGGTCCTGGCTCCCTGCTGACAGACCACGTGGCCGTGAGCAACTGCCGTATGTCAGTGAGCCTCAATATCCATCTGTAAAATAGGGGTGCTAGTCCACATTGGCCTCAGAGTTGATTCGAAGATTAGGGAATAGAAAGTATTAGCCCCGCTTCCCGCTGAGGGCTGGTGATGGCTTCTGGAAGCCTGAATGCTGCCTCCCAAGGCTCTGGGCCCTGAGGGTTGCAGCATATAGCCAAGGGGGTGGGGGTGTCTCAGGAAATGCCTAGCCAGGCTTCAGTGGTTCTCTTTAGATCTGTCTGAGTATAGTGTGTCCTAAGTTAAGACTGGGCCAGCCTGTGGCATGGTGGTTAAAGTGGCTGGATCCCACATGGCCGACCTCATGGTTCAAATTCCAGGCCCAGTGGCTTGGAAAACATGCCAGGCCCATGTGTGTGCATACACAAAATCCTGAAAGGAGGAACTGGAGGAGAGGGACTGTGACATGACCACTCCCATGGGCCGGGGGTGCTTTCTCATTTTCCTCCTCTCCATGTCTCTGGCCAGTGCACACACCCTCTGGCAAATTTTTAAAAAAAGTTAAGACCTTGGTTATGAAGGAACAGATTGTCTTGGGACCAGACTGAGGCCGGCTGCGCTCCTCAGGCTAGTAAGGAGCAGGTTCTGAGTTAACGCGTGCGTGTGTACACGGGCACGCTTTCTGTGTGTCATCGCGAAGCATTCCTGGCCCCAAGAAGCGCTCAGAGCAAGTTGGGCATGCATGTGTCTTATTTATAGTTCAATTAAAGCTGCGAATAAAGCACAGATGGGAAATTCCCACTTGGATTCCAGCTGTACACGCGGCAGATGGGTGTTATCAAGCTGAGATTTGTCTTTAACATTTTTTTTTTTTTTAACTATTTTCTGCTAGTTGTCAACATCCTCCTCAATAGGAAAATGTTTGGGCTCTGTACTCCCTAAAAACTTTCCCTGTGATATTTTATTCCTCTTTGATGTACCTCCTTAAAAGAGTTCAATTTGACCCATTTTGAAGTGTCTCCCAGAACACATTTTGCAGCCTGGCTGGGCGGGGAGTCTCCACGTTCAGCCATGAGAGGGCAGTGTCCACACTTGCTCTTCCAGTCCTAGGCGCACTAATCGCTGTCGGTCCTTTTGAAATGCTCTTATAGATTGGTTTTTAACGGCAGGTTTAAAAGAAAACCCACGAAAGTATGAACTTGTGTCTGTCTACGTTTAGAGTGTGTTTCCTACACTGCCTCATTTTCACTGTTAAACGGGCAAGTCCGTTCTGCTGTGCGGGGTAGACTTAATCATTTCCATCATGAGAGAGCGGGGCGCCCCCTCGACGGGGTCTTCATGCCATGACCCCCCCCAGCCCTGCCGAATAAGGCACAGATGGGAAATTCCCACTTGGATTCCAGCTGTACACGCGGCAGATGGGTGTTATCAAGCTTGAGATTTGTCTTTAACATTTTTTTTTTTTTTAACTATTTTCTGCTAGTTGTCAACATCCTCCTCAATAGGAAAATGTTTGGGCTCTGTACTCCCTAAAAACTTTCCCTGTGATATTTTATTCCTCTTTGATGTACCTCCTTAAAAGAGTTCAATTTGACCCATTTTGAAGTGTCTCCCAGAACACATTTTGCAGCCTGGCTGGGCGGGGAGTCTCCACGTTCAGCCATGAGAGGGCAGTGTCCACACTTGCTCTTCCAGTCCTAGGCGCACTAATCGCTGTCGGTCCTTTTGAAATGCTCTTATAGATTGGTTTTTAACGGCAGGTTTAAAAGAAAACCCACGAAAGTATGAACTTGTGTCTGTCTACGTTTAGAGTGTGTTTCCTACACTGCCTCATTTTCACTGTTAAACGGGCAAGTCCGTTCTGCTGTGCGGGGTAGACTTAATCATTTCCATCATGAGAGAGCGGGGCGCCCCCTCGACGGGGTCTTCATGCCATGACCCCCCCCAGCCCTGCAGCCGGCCAGCAGCAAGGGCTCGGCAGCCATGCGTTCCAGGGTCTGCGCCCTGCGCCCTGCGCCCTGCGCCCTGGCCACTGCAGCCAGGCCTGCCACGTTCTGACTAGCTGCTAGTCGAGGAATCGGGCGTGTAGAGCAGCGTCAGCTGTTCAGGCCCAGACGCAGTAGCACCTGCTGGTTGATGCTGCTATTTGGTAGGCCCACACTGCATGGGAGACACAGGTTCAAGTCCCGGCCCACACTAAAGGGCATGGAGAAGGTGGTGTGTGTCTACAACCCCAGCTTCTTGGGAGGCAGAGGCAGGGGTGGCTCCATGGCGCAGTGGTAATGTGCTGCTCAGAAGCCAGATCCCCCATGGTAACGGCAATGCGAGTCCCCAGTCCGTCAGCCCGGACCAGGCTGTGCGTGTGAGTGCTCGAGACCCAGGACGGGAGGGTAGGGAAGGTGCACCTGTGGAGGGTGCTCCTCTCTAGTGTGCACGCACACCTTCATCATGAACAATTAACAATGATTCAGTGTTTATTGAGCACCTACTGTGTGCCAGGATACACAGCAAAACAAATGCCCTGTGTCGTGGCATTCGTAGCACACGGCCACGCTCGGAAATGATGAGCGAGTGACGGCTGGTGCTCAGTGGTCCAGGAAGTGAGCAGGCGGTGGAGACCTGGGGTGCGGGGCGGTCAGGGTGGGCCTTGCTGGGGTCAGATTTGAGCCAAGACTAGAGGCCGGGCCAGCGAGCCCGGTGGGCAGCGGGGGAAGAGGAACAGAGAGCGCGACTGGTCTACTTGAGCACCAGGACGCCAGTGTGGTGCCTCCCAGCCTTGAAGCACCCTCACCCCCACCTCCCCTCGCCTCAGCGGCAGCCGACCCAGAAAGCCCGCCAGCGCTGCTCTAGCTCTGCCTCTGCCCTCGCTCCTCGCTCACAGCCTTAAGTGCTGGAGAGCCTGCTCCCTCTTCTCCCTGCGCAGGCGAGGCCAGGTGTGGCCCCGGCTTCACTCCGCTCTATTGGATGGTCACCATGAGTCCCCAGGCTGTCTGGGTACCTGGCTCAGAGAGTCTGGCCCTGGAGCACCTCTGCGAGGCTCTCGGCTCCTCAGCCTCAGCCACTCATGGCTGCCTCCCCCCTCCTCCAGCCTTCCCAGTCATGGCTGCCTCCTCCCTCCTCCAGCCTTCTCAGTCCTCCCTGATGCATCTCCCTCTGTCCCCGGCCTGGGGCCCTTCTCCCTCACCAAGCCCACCCCCTTGGAACTGCATTCGCACCCAACCAGGACATGAGACTTCCCTTTATTTCAATGCTGATGCTCTGAAAAGCAGGCATCACTGAGGATTTAGGTGGCCAAAAGTGCCGAAGGCAGGGTGACTCAATTTAGAGATGCTTCTAGAAAAAATAGAAGGTGAGGAAGGAGGGGAGACGAGACAAGTTCTGTTTTCTTCTGCAGCTGATGGTGGTCCTCCTGGGGACCCCGCCCCAGGGTTTGCCCAACTGTGTTTCTTCCCTAAACAAGGGCAGGATAAAAATAGCTGTGGGCTAATCTAAGAGATAGCAGGCAGGAGTCTCTGCCGTGTTGGGAACGAAAGACTGCAGCCTGCGCAGGGGAGGCTGGGCCTTCTCACCCCCATGCCCCTTCCGTCCCCAACAGCAGGCCTAGGCTACGCAAGCCCCAGGGCCATTTACTGGGCAGGGTGCTGGTCTATTTGCATTTTTCATTTTGTTTGCTAGAGGACTCATTCTTGGGTGCAAGACAGGGAAGGAGGGAAAGGGAGAAAGCACCCCCAATGCAGATGGTCACGCCGCAATCCCCTCTCCATTTCTCCTTCCTTTCAGGACGTTGGGCACACACGAACATGTGCCTGGAGTGTTCTCATGCTGGTCAGCATTTGCATTTGTAGCACGCCACCTGTGCACTGGTTACAAGTGTGCCGCCTGGGGCTGAGAGGCCTGACCCAATTGTACTATCCTGGCCCTGGCCCGATGCCCCTGGGCAAGGGCTGCCCCCTGTGCTGCTGCTTCCTTATCTGCAACACCGGGGAGGGGCGCAGGAGGGCTAAGGGCAGCGCCCTTGCCAAAAGCTCACAGGGCAGCGCTCACGCAGTTACCACTGTCCAAGCTCAACCCGCTGGAGGCTTAGCAGGACTGCAGCCTTCTGAAACCCAGGAAGGCCTCTGAGGTGACAAGACCAAGTGCTGTTGTGGAGGTCCGTGAGGAATGGGCAGATGAGAAGCCAGGAGTGGGTAGTTGAAGAGAAGGGGGATCAGGATAAAGCAATGAACTTTGATCGGCTCCAGAGTGAGGGATGATTTGCTTGTATCTTGTATCTATAAATACTGAGCGTGTATCCGCTCTCTGGGAGAGTTTGGCGGGGCTTGCTGCCTGTCTCCTTGTAACCCGGTTGCAGAAATAAACTCCCTCCAGCTCCAGCTTCTGCCTCTTGCTTCTCTGCCCATGAGTAGAAGCAGCTGCACTCTGTTAGCAACGCCGTGCTGTGACCGGCTGATCGGCAGGAATTCGCCTGGAAATCCCTGTGGCTGCCAGAACCAGCTTAGCTCCCAGGACGT